CCGCAGAATTCAAGGGCAAAGCTTGATCTTTCATTTCAATTCTCTAGCCACACAATCTCAGCCCTGCGATCGACGCCAGGCGGCTCTTCGTGTCCTCAGTGGAACGCCAAAACGATGGTAGACATCCGCGTGCATTTGAACAACGACACAACGACCGTTGAAGTCGGCTTGGTAACCTCGTCATGTTGGCAAACCAAGACTCGCGGGGGTACTAGTCTTGGTTTGCCAACATGACGAGGTTACCAAGCCGACTTCAACGGTCGTTGCGTCGTTGTTCAAATGCACGCGGATTTCTACCATCGTTTTAGCGTTTCACTGAGGACACGAAGAGCCGCCTGGCGGCGATCACAGGGCTGAGATTGTGTGGCTAGAGAATTGAAATGAAAGATCAAGCTTTGCCCTTGAATTCTGCGGTGGATTTGTGGCAGTGGGTACATTTTAGCTTGGGATTTTTTACTTCGTTCGGCAGGCTGTCCGGACAGAAGTGTTTGGCCTTGTCTTATCTTTAAGAAGAGAAGACCAGGATTAAAATCAAGTTAAATCGGTAAATTAACGAAACCAAGAGCAAACAACACACGTATGGAATAAGGTAAGCCACTTTTATTTAAAATTTTCACTTAAATATCTTCATGGATATCTTGTAGAAAATCCCAGATAAATCCTTATAAATCGATATGCGAATTGTGTTCCTTGTATGGTTCTTAAAGAGAGCTTGGGCCGCCAGTGCTGACATAAGCAAAATCATGAACTATACAACTTTCTAAATGCCGACTTCGATTCATCAAAAGGAACGAGTGGCCTTCTCTTGCCTTAAGTTTGTTTTATATTTTTTTCCTAAGGAAACAAATTTAATTTCAACAAATACAATCGAGGAACCATTGACAGCCTGGGAACCCCGTATGACTATGGAAGTGTGATGCATTATGGGGGCAGAGCTTTTAGCAAGAACGGAAGACCTACTATCGTTGCCAAGCGATCTGGGGTTAGTTCAAGTAGATGTTATCGATTATCGCAAGGGCAGTTCAAGGAATTTTAATCAAATTCATCATTATTTAAAGGCGGCTCATATATAAAAACAACAATTTATTGTATTGCTAGGATATGGTACAAATCGCATATTTGAAAGATTATGTTTTCAGTGAACGACATATACTCCAAGAAAAAAGAAATCGGAGTGCTTCTAATAGGATCACATGTTTCTTATTTCAGTCAGCTATGCAGCAGTTTCAGGTTGTAAACCAGTTTCCAGTTTGTAAACAAAAGGTGTCGTGAGATAGTCAACATGATATTTTTCGTCCAAAGACAGCACTTCGATTTACCATCATTCTAAAACACTCAAATGCTAGATTACGAAAAACAATTGTGTTTTTCAATCATACGCCAAAATCATGTTCATCATCACTTTTATTGTCGGTATCATTTTCTTTATCAGCATTGATTACTCATTTAAAAAAATCGCGAAATACAAGCTAGCACTTCCACATTTTATCTCGGAGGCTTCAAAACTGTGCAAATTCTTTAACTCTTATATCCACACACTGAGATGGATAAAGTAAAGGGAAGGGTGTTTAAGTCAGTCAAGTAAAGATAATTTGAATTCCATGAAAACTTATGCAAGAAAAACAAAAGACAAAGATATCTTTCAAGTTTCGTAAATATTGCACTTATGACAAAAGTATATAACCTGGACCTAAGTTATATGCATCTGATTGTTGATATTGCCGATTGCAGTCAATGCTTTTTTTGTCTTGTTTTATTTTTGTTTTATCATTTCATTTTCCCAGGTAACACTAGGTCAGCGACGGGGCATTAGTGCAATAGACGCGCAGCAGATGAATCTCCTGTACAAGAGTCAATGTGGGGGAGGGGGAGGAGGAGGTGGCGGTGGGGGAGGTGGTGGAGGAGGTTTGTAACAATGATTACTTTAACATCCATCAAACAAACAAAGAATTGCATGAAAGCAACTGAGGGAGCGGTCATTCTTTATCGCTGAGGGCGAAGGCGGAGGATTTTAGGGGGGATGGGATCACATGGTCTAGAGACTTTAAGAACACAAAGCTTATTTCCTTAAAGGCGTTCTATTAATTTATCATTTTGATTTGAGCATAATAAAAATGGTGTACGCCTTTTAAACACCGTAACACACTACTTTACATGGTTACTTTTAATTCCTATATGTTCACTTCGTTCTACAACCTGAAAGCACGCCACCTAACCACTTCAAAGTTCGCACATGCGTAGACTTTGACCACTGTGCCTATCCTTACAAAACTTCTAATGTTCTCTTTCAGGAAATTGTAAAGACACTGATCGAAGATGCGGCGGATGGACGGGATATTGCAGTTACCACAGATATGTGAGGGCAAACTGCAAGAAGACCTGCAACCTATGTTAATCAACTGAAAAAAGGTAACAATTCACCATTTGAAATAAGTCCAGTAGCCTTCGAACTAGCAAGTTCCTTTACACATTCAGAGAATATGTGAATAAAATTTCTGCCTTACCCCTCTCCTCCCAACCTGGTTCGAATTGGTTTTCAGTTATTTGAAACTACCTTGACCTCAATGAATAACTTGCATTGAAATTTACATAACGAATGAATGGCTTAACCATGGACGATCGAATTTCTTATACCAAAACCGTTGTTTTTAGAATTTTAATTGTGAGATTTGATCGATTGAGTCCAATTCACTAACCGTAAACGAACTATTATATTCGATCTCAGATATTAAAAGTACTTATAAAGATTTTACTCCGACAAAAATGTGAAGATTACATTTGATCTTTTTCTGCTAACTGTAGGTGAATATGATCAAAATATAAAAATTAACCAGAGGCTTTCGTAAGTTTCCAGAGTCATCCTTTCAAATAAATTGTAATCTACTCTCAAAGGCTAGTGTTAAAATAATCTTATGTCAGCAATATGATTTAAAGAAGTATGCCTCGGTATAAACTTTCCTCATCTAGCTGTCAACCATTTACCCATAAAGAGAGAAAAAAGACTAGCTTGAATAGGATAATTTTATGATGAACAATTCATTTTTCCAAAATAGAGAGTCGTAAATTTGGCCTACAACTTACTTATGCGCAAATTAAGTTGTCTGTTTGGGTCCTGATTATCTAAATATGACACTAACAATGGAGGCTTAATTCATGAGAAAAAACGTAGGGTTCGATCCATGAAACCTCATACACGTGTATTCTATCATGAGCAATACTAAGAAACAGGCCTTGCCTTTTGCACCCTATTTTGAGCGTCTCAAATCCTCTCGTAAACAATACTGCAGAGTAGTTTTTTTTTCAAAAAAGAAACTGAACCACTTGCACAATGAAAATTTATACTTAGTTCACATAAATTTCCCTTTGTATTCTAAATTTACCAACGACCCAATGATAACTTATCTGGTTTCCTCTGATTGGTACGTACAATGCTGTTTTCCCTTCCAGGTCAAATGCCATTTTTGGGGAGGTTCTGCTGTAGTTTAACTTAAGGTAGAGTGGGCTGATAGAATAAAACGTGAATCAAAAATCAGAGTTTGTTTATTTGTCTTTTTGTTCTCTTCTTCGAAAAGGACTGACTGGCTATCAAATGCCGCTCTCAGACTTGACTCTGTATATTTATGCTTACCTTGTTTTGCAATTAAATCCCTGGTTGTCAAAAACAAACAAGAAGGTAGTGCTAAAGCAAACGACCAAATACAACAGGATCATAGAAGGCCTACTCTGGGTTCTTAAGTCGCCGTTACTTTGGGTGACTTTGAGCGATTTAAGGTGATTTAAGGCGACTTTAGCAAAATTGGCAAAAAAAACATTGCGACCAGTTAGGCGATCTAAGGCGATTTAAGGCGACTTAAGGCGACTTAAGGCGACTTAAAGCGATTTTATCTGACTGAAGCAATAAAATCAAAGTTAGCAACAGTCTCTCCATAAACCTTAAAAATATTTACAGAATCTCTTGCAATGAACTCAATAGTCATTTTGATTACTTTTGTATGCTCATCAGTCACAATAGCGACTTAAGGCGACTTAAGGCGACTTTAGCCGACATAAGACGACTCAAGACAACTTAAGGTCCCAGGGTAGGCCTCATAGAATTACAAAAGTCTTGCTTGTTCTTGGTCGTATACTGAAAGTCAGTGCGTAATCGTGGTCAAATTGGTCAATAGTTTCTATGCACTGGATTTTTTGAGGGAGCAAATTATGATTTGGCAAAATGATTTAACGTTGACCTCGTGAAAAAGTTATATCAATTTGGTGTGCTTGTCCAAGAATGAAAAAAACACTGTCATCGTCCTCAACCATATCATTCTCAAGTTACAAAAACGTCAATTTATTTATTTTGATTTAAAAAAGAAATTCGCATTAAGAGACTTTCCATTGTCCCAGCATAACTTTTCACATGGAGCATTTAATGACAGACACAAAAGTCTTTTAGATACTTACGAAGTTGAGGTATTTTTTTCTGATGCTAAGCGTAAAAGCTCTCAACTGATCGGAAAATTATCGGCATGAGAACGAATTCTGTTACTTTAAGGGAGTGGGTAGCGTAATTTTACGCTATCAGATCAGTCAAGTATCGACCAAATCAAGGGTGGTCAAGTCGTGAACTTATTCAAGTTACCTGCTCTGAAGTCACATATTCAGACCACCTCGGAAATTCCTTTATTACCGTCATGGTGTGTTATACACAGTATAAATTCAGTGCTCCAGCATTTTCAGCCTGAGTAGCTGGGAAAGATGGAATAATGTTAGTTCACCTGAACCTTTTCTCCTCAAAAATAGTATGGTATTAAGAATAATTAACAATTATTCCACGAGCGCGCGTTGGATATGAGATGATAGATAGCCAACAAGGCGCGTAGCGCCGAGTTGGCTATAATCATCTCATATCCAACAAGCGCGGGTGGAATAATTGTTTTATTAAAAATGTTAAATTAAATTATTAAATTTTATTAAATTTTTAGCTCCCGTTTAATTTTAAGCTGATATGTTCGCTTACCATATTTGTAGATTATGGTATATTGGCTGATATACCATAATGGCTTCAAGCAATAAAAATTCTTGAATTGCATTATCCAATGATCTAGTTTTTAATAATTACTATTAGCCAGTGTCAACATCTACAACTACTATTTTCCTTTAAAAAGATAAACTCACAACGAATGGCTCGAACAGTTTTAATTTAGGCTGTTGAAATATGATCATTTGAAATGTAAAGCGGCTCAGAACTAAATCTATTTCTTCAATAATACATAATTGGAGGTAAATATCCGGAATTGTGATATGCAATTAAACGTTAACTTGCAAACCTGATGAAGACTATAAGATGAATTATAACATAACCAAAGTAAAGCGTGCGCTCTGATTGGTCAATTTAGCGTCCCCCCATTTGCCTATAGGTGTACGCTGCTGACGTAAGCAAATGCAAAGACTATTTTTCCGCGTGCGCTTGTTTTTTCTGGTCACGTAAGATTTGTTAAATAAAAGGGAACTCTTTAGCTACAATGTATCAATGTTATGTTATAAAAAAAAATGGTAAACACCACAGCGTACACTATTGAGTTATGGATGCACTTGGGAGGTTTGCTAAGCACTCAAGAAGCTAGAGTCTCTCTCGGCTATCGCCTCGAGCGACTCTTACGCTTCTTCCGTGCTTAGCAACCTCCCGCCGGCGTCCATAACTCAATAGTGTACGATGTGCTGTTTACCATTTGTTAATTAATCTCCTAAAAGTCCTCATTGGCAAAAAGAAAACTAATCAAATTGCCAATGCAAGAACATAGCCCAAAGTAAAAATAATAAAAACATCAGCAAGTTAAAGGTATTTACATGATTATTTACAGACTTTTCCACAGTGAATTGCTGCAGTTGTCCAAATTTGCAAATATCTTTTATTCAATTGAGGTGAAGTAGGCCTCTTTGGGTACTGCAAGAGGTTTCCTGAGCAGCCTGGAATATTAAGCGGCTATAATTTCAAGTCGCAATTTGCTAAAGGGTGCATTGAGTTCACAAGTAAGAGGGTCACACGCTAAAAGCAACTGAAATAGAGTGTTTTATGATTTTTTCTCACAATGCACAGCACAAATGCAATGATTAAAATGCTGTTTAACAGCTACTAACAGTAACAGCTATTTGCTTATGGTCGAAAAGAAAATCAAGCGAAAGAGTTTTGTTACGCGCAGGTGAGTCGACAAATGCTTCTCACATAATCTCTTCTCAGAGGGAACCCTTCAAACTATTTTAAACAGAAGAAAATCAGCATGAAATGGCTTGGTGCTCTTTTGATTTTTGGAGGGGTTCTTATTGCATCAGAGAACCCAGAAGGTAAGCTTTTCAACGAGCACGATTTTGTTTTCTTCGAGCTTGCCAGTTAGTTTTTGTATGAAAACTTTAAAGCTGTTTTTGAAGTTCTTAGTTTATGGCATTATTTGGAAAACGTATCCAATGCTTTCAACTAGGCTCAAATTGGTATAAGTGTAAAAGCTTTGCGGTATACTGAGCTAAAGGAAAACGGCAAACCGTCGGCAAAACGGTCAGCGATGATGAACTGAGATATATGGCAGCCATTTGCACAATGGGTTTAAGCTAGCGATCGACCTTAGCTATCTCCACCGGTAGCTTCAGCAAGTAAGGAACAAAAACTCTGTCTTTCTGTTCGTACCATAATTGTGCAATTTCAATGCCCCCCAAGTTTGGTATTTTGTCCACTGTAGAAAATGTCGGCATCAGTGATCCAGACGTCTATGAAGGAGACATGATTTTAGATCCAGGTCAACGCATGGCGATTGAGCTTGAGTTGGATGTGGATAATCCGTTTGGAAGAGGCTCAACTATAAATCGACAGTGGCCTGATGGTGTGGCGTACTACGTCATTGATTCCATTCTCTGTAAGTTCATCACTACAATGGAACCTCGATTTAACGAACCTCTATATAACGAAGTCCATGATATCACAAACGATACTTCATTTTCAGCCGAGCTAAAGTTATAGTAAAATGTATGCCACGGAACCTCGATATAACGAACCAACTTCCCTTGGCACTTCGTAAAATGGAGGTTCCACAGTAGTGGAAACAATCGAGAGGCTGTGTAAAATCGAGTATCTTCCAGTGCAACTTTAAAGTAGAAGATAGCGGTGTGTTGTCCATGGTACACGTGTATGTCTTAGTGCTGTTAAATCTTTGGCATTTTGCCTGATCCTCAATATGCAATGTCTTAATGTGATTTGGTGAGGTAAAACAAACATGTGATAAGTAAGTGTAGAAATTGTAGAAAGAAAAAATAGTATGGTTATATCCATTAAATTCTGATAGGTGCGCTCAACCAAAAAAAGGCTGAATGCAAGGCAGTTAAATCATTTTTAAACATAAACAAACATAGTGCGCATTATTTGATTGGTAAATTTAGTTTGCCAGCGGATGCTTTCCAAGTTTTTTCCTAACATTTCGCTTGGGTTTATAACGTTATAGAGCCCGGAAAAATGTGTTCTACGGCTATTGCTTAAATATAGACTGAGATCACATTTCCCCAATAAACTATTACCCTATTTCTTAGCAGATAACAAACAAAACGTAATTAGATAACCGCAGTAAAAGCACTCAAACTGTTCTGAAAAAAAAATTAGCGCAAGGAGCAGTCGAAATAATTTAGCAAATGAGTATGAATGTTTGTTTAAAGGAATTTTATGTTATGTTGTACAGGTAGTGGACATGGATTATTGTCCGCATTGTATTCAGTTTAGTACATATATCTTATTAACCAAGCGCGAGGGCCGTACTGGGAGACTATCGGCCCGAGGTCTTGACAGTACGGATCGAGCGCAGCGAGGTCCGTACAAAAAAGACCAAGGGCTGATATTCTTCCAGTACGATCTCGAGAAAGCTTGGTTAATAAGAGATTTATTACACGACTGAAGTTCAAAGGGACGCAAGTGCGGTATCATTCGGGACCATTCGGGACAGTGCCCGGTCCAATACTGAGAGAATATTGACCGGCAATAGAGCATTTTGATTGGTTGATTTTAGTTATTGGCCCTCTGACTGCCTGAGTCGTGTAATAATGTAGTATATTGATTATACATGTACCTATATTGATTATTGACAACAACCTAGTATGGGTTGTAAGGTGAGCACTTTGTACTTTAATTCAGTAAATATACTACTCGCAGTAATCCTGCTATACTGGAAATACCTGCCTGCTGTAAAATTACTATAGGTCAGTAAACTCTTCTACTTCTATATGTGTACTGTGTTTGTTAATTAAGTTCAGTTAGCCTTTGGCAATGAAAGAGAAACAGTCTCTTTGTGTCTGAATGGCGGCACTACAGGTACATTCACATTTTACCCGCCGAAGGCTGTAGTTCGGGCAGTCGAAAGCTCGTAATTTTATTAATTATTTTTTAGCCCGATATCGTTCTTCATTTTTTTTTTCAACTTCGTCTATCCTAGCTGACCCTTAAATACCTTCAATCTTAGTAAATGTCATAATTAGTCTTGGCCAGTCAATGATTTACTGGGTTTTAATCATGTGCAATGACATCCCGACTAAGCAATTAAAACTAGCCCCTTTTCTCGTCCCTCTCCTCCACTAGCTTACCTCCTCCCCTATAACCTGTCAATAACTGCCTAAATATTTACTCGATTTGAAGGAAATCTTTTTCAAGAAATTTGATCTTCTCACGTAATACCCTTAGCGCTCGGCAATAGTTTAGATAATAATCATGGTTCAAAATCATCAAACCAGTTTTCTTTCCTGTTTTTCTGTCTTGCATTGACCTTCCAAGAACAGGACAATGAATTAAAATCAAGCTGATTTGAAATATTTCATCACAATATATACACAGCATATTAAAACTAATAAGATTGCTAACCTGATGACACTTAAACGATATGTAAGAAGAACAGTTTTGATTCTAAAAGTATAGTGAAAAAAAATCACTAATGGTAAAGTAAGGTTTTGCTGATATTTAAGTGACTTCTACCCTTTAGCTGATAAAAGCAAAAAGACGTAATTCCTCAAAGGTTGATTAACACCAATCTGGGCCTTCAGCACGACATTTCTTCAGACTTTTTTAACAATTCCGTATCACTCTTAAACTGCACTATGCGAAATCTGAGGCTTGGAAATAGACAACTCCACGTTGAGTAGATAAATACGATTAACTTTAATTCCGACGTAATTGAAGTAGGTTAAAACTAAAATATCAAACAATTACAATAGTTACACAATATACGATATAAACTGAATTAAGAACAACACGACGGAAAGAGGACTCTGAAGCACTCACGTCGTTACGGCCACAGAAAAGACTAAGATTATTGATGTAACTACATTACAGAGGTTCAGACTGAACTGCGCGATAAACGAGAAAACAGGCATAGTAAATCGATACATTATGCGAAGTAGCAATAAGGTGGCAATAAAATGACTGAGAAAGGCACAAATGAAACAATTAGTAATGACTTTGGTTAGTTACAGGGTGAAAAACTTAAATAAATGAACTTTAAACACGCAAAGAATCCAACAACAAAAACTGTCGCTTTTAGAACTTACACACTCCATTAATCACTCGCTTCCCATCACTGTGGCCCAGCTTCGATTCCCGGATATGGAGGAATCGAACTATTACTAAATTCCTATTCGCATTTATACTCATCCACTGGGGAAGCAATCTGCAGCTTGCCCAAGAGCACAACATAATGACTCGGCCAGGTCTCGGACTACACTCCCAGACACACTTGTTGCAACACATGCCACCTTAACTGGCATTCTCAATGTTGGTTTGCAAGATAGCATAGAAACATTGGCAATTAACAACATTGGATTGAGAGAGGGGTGAAGAAACCTCGAATGTATTGTTCGGGAGGGGTTTCCTCTTTCTGGGAATGCAGGACACGTCGACCGGGAAGCCAATCCATAGAGCCACTGCGTCTCCCAAATAATAGGGACCTTAAGGAGTCAGGACGGCAATACCAATGGAGACGTCTATTATATTTTTAGTCTAAATTTCGAAAATGGATCCATGTAATTACCCTTTTCATACGATGCCACACCTCAACTTCCGCATAACGACTTTTTGCGGCGTTGAGTTCTGCACCGTTCGCAGACGACGCAAATTTTGGTGGTTTGAGGTACGGTTGTTTTGCAGAGGACGGTTAAAAATGAACAGAGTTTTCAAACGCACGTGCTGGCTACTGTTTTGCCAATTAGATATTTTATTTTTCCACGTCCTTGTTGCCGTCCCCGTCGGGGTTTGCTTAAGGTTCCTATTCCGATCTGTAAATTTATCTTGCCCTAGATGTTTCATTGTAGTATTGTACCCCAAGTTATTCTTTAAAAATTCATAGAGGCGGATGATTCGTAATTAGCTGCGATATTTTACATTAAACAGAATTCGAAAAGATGTGAAGGAGCCTACCTTTTTTTGGGAAATCTTACAAAGAACCATATAATTACGGTTTGTTTCAGCCGAGTAGTGGTGCTTCGTGTTTAAACAACGAAAACGAACCAAACAAAAAACGGGAACCACAACAACTAAATTGCAGACAAGTGCGAGCATCTTTGAACATGGATATTTTCTCATTGATATATTTTACATACTCAACAAAATAACGCATTGCTTATTTTTCAATCCCAAAGCTATAGTATGGTAAGTTAAAGAGTGCAGAGCGCGATTTTCACCTTGAAAGATTTTGGTATTGTACTCGCTTACGATTCATACTTTTAAGACAACTTTCTTAACATCATTCGTGCCGTCCAGTCGCTACAAAAAGCTGCACTCGTTGGATTTCCCAAACTGATTTCGTTTTTAACAGAAGTAATGTTAACTTTAAATTTTAGATACGAAATACTTGCCACTAAACAAGGGTGTTTTTTAGTAACTTCTGGCCGAGTTACGAAGAGTGGTAAATAGCAACTTGTTTCCTGTAAATATTTAAGCTGTTTCAATAATACTGGGCTTCTCGAGGTTTCCGAATATTTGCTGTTTGCTTTGTAATTCCGTTGTAATTTAAAGACATTTAAACAGACATTTTACTCAATAAACATTGAATAACGCTAGAAATGAAAGAAAATTCTTTGAAATGAAGATTTCTATACGTCAACAAAAGCGTTGACAAGTTCAAAGTGGACAAAGGATGTCTTAATTCGTCGCAAAACCTGAACAACAATTAAAGACAATCCTGATCAAACTAGACAGTTTGCTTCTTTTATTTTTTATCTAAGTTTTTATCAACGGATTAAGAATTTTAAGGAATTCCTTTTACTATTTCCCTCTTGAGTATAGGTCCACTTTCATCAGAGGTGTGAACTAACCAAATTTTTGTGGGACACTCAGACGATCTATCGGCTGACTTGTCTGCCATCATGAATTTATAGTTTTAACTTTTGCTATGATTGTATGTAGCTACACGTTTCCCTTTTCCTGAAAAAATTATAGGTAGTTGCTTTACTTAAAAAAAACTCTTTACCAACTTAATTGCATCTGTAACAGTTGCATTTGAACAAGATGTTATTACTTTTCCATGTTAATCGGATTTACGCAGGGTCGTCAAAAAGGAACAATAGCTTAATACGAAAGAGCTTATTAAAAATTAAACAGCTTCTCAGGTGAGAGAACAATTGCTGGTCAATAAATTTGCTGCAGATAAAACAATTTCACATAGTTGCTTCGGCACCACTGGGAGGCATCATGAAGTGGCTTTGCTTTTTTGTCCTGTGCGGAGTCGTTTTTGCCAGGAATCCTGAAGGTAGACTTTTTCCACATTTTAACTCTATGAGTATTGTTAGAATATGCTTTCATAGGATTGTAAAATTATTTTTTATTGTTAAGTCTTTTTCTCGGGACTTATCGTGGTCACGTGAGGCCATAGAGCCGTGTAGACTGAACACTTCTCCGTTTCCAGAATGGGGGAGTTATTATTCCAAATACTCGTCATTTGAATCTTTATTCTCTCGTTTATATAGCATGAGAGATATCACTGAAACTGAAAGCAATTAAGCGCTCGAGCCCAAAAGCGTTTTTGTTTTTTCATTAATATAGTTTGACGTGGATAAGCTGTGGAAAGTAATCGTTTTTCTGATTGTTAATTTGATATTGGATACAAGTAAAAAAGAAAAAAACTAAGTCTAATTGACCTCAAAATGAACGTTTCCTTGAAGAGAATGACGATCTTTATGAAGGGGACATGATACTAACAGCTGATCAGCGTATGGCGGCCAACAGGGGACTGGATGTGGATAATCCAATGGGGAGAGGTGCAACTAAAGGCAGACAGTGGCCGGGAGGGGTTATGGCTTATGTCATCGACTCCAGTTTATGTAAGTGTCTGGCTCATGATAATCGTTTCTCAGTCCAACGACGCCATTTTTCATTTTTTATGAAGTAGCAAGCGACAAGTTAGATTTAATGCAAAAAATGTAAATTTTGATATTTTGCAACTGCGATACGCTTGGGTTCCCTAGGTCAAGAGAACTGTAAGTTACATTACCCCCGTAGACTGCGACAGAAAATTGTACTGTTTGGCTATTTCTGAAAAAGCATTTCACCAAAGAATATAGGAACCGAGAAAAACCAACATTGAAAATTATCAATCTTTCATAATTTACTTTAAAATGAAGAGAAAAGATGGCGAACGAGAAAAGGAACGAAGAATTCATTTGAATTCATTATATACCAAATATTTGTGAAAGTGTAATGTGATCGTCCGGGTGAGTGTAGTCCTGAGAAGGACTGTTGTCGGTTGTAGTGACTGACGTTTCGACAACCTGTGCGGAAGTCATCATCAGAGTCAAGTGAATTGTTGTTGTCAGTAGAATGTTCTTATTTCAGTTCGTGTAAAAGGATTGGTCAGTTTATGCGTAATGTTATTGGTTGTAAGACTCAAGTGGCGTAAGTCGGTCGTGATTGGTCTCTTTCGATCCGTCGGTAAAGTTAGGTCGTTCTGTTTAGTTGGTTTGTAATGTTTATGTCGTGAATGAGTCGTTTGTATAGAGCCATTAGTAGTTGACAACTGTTTAGGGGAGTCTGTTCTAAGCTAGTAAACCAGCTTTCCAGAGTCAGTCGTTGAAAGTAGTCAGTGCTGTAGGTTAGGCACTGCGCAGAGTCTCAGTCAATATTGTGGTTCGTAAGTCGATGATGTTCAGCAAGGTGATTGTTGACATCACCTTTCCTCGTCGTACGTCTGTGTTCAGTCAGTCTTGTTACAAGCTTTCTGCCATGTAGGAGGCTTAGTGTGGTGATGGGTTTGTGGGCGACGCGGATATTGAAGGGCTGTAAGATGCGCGAGATGTTCTCAGACATGCCTTTTATGTACGATATGGTTGTTGTAGTCGTAGGAGTTGCGGTGTCGTTTGTTTCGGTAGTGGTAGTGGGTCGGTGAGTGCTTCGTCGGATGAAGTCGTCGTTGTAGTTTTTCTTTGAAAAAACACGGTGAAGGTATTTTTTTTTCATCGGATAAACTGTCTGTCGAGTCGCATACTAGTTACGCGCGTCGTGTTAGAATTCTGATAGTTGTGGCTTTGTGTGATGTAGGGCTGTAGGATGACTCGTCTAGTAATCTGTCGGTGTATGTCGGTTTCCTGTAAACTGTTGTCCGTAGTGAGTTGTCGTCACGGCTTACCAGACAGTCTAAAAAAGTAAGTTTGCCATTTTCTTCTACTTCTCTGGTAAACTGTATGTCAGTGTTTTTTCGGTTAAGGTGGTGGTGGAATGCGTCGATTTCGTCCTGTCGTACGGTGGTGAATGTGTCGTCAACGTAACGTAACCAAAGCGGTATCGTTTTTCAGCAAGTCGATGTACATCGCGCTCCTCGATATTCTGCATCACAATTTCTGCTACAATAACAGAAAGTGGAGACCCCAGGACTGTGCCGTGTAACTGTTTGTAGTGTTTACTGTTGTACTAAAAGTAAGTTGACGTTAGGCAAATGTTCAGCAGGTCCATAAAATCCTCTTTCGGCAGCGATAATGAGTCGGTAGATTGTCGGATTGCAGTCTCAGTACGTTGTTGCGCCAATTGAAGTGGAACACTTGTGAACAGTGATTTTACATCAAATGACGCTAGTTTGTAGTCGTCAGGTATCTGTACAGTCTTGGTAGCGTTAATAAAGTCTTCAGTGGATTGTAGTTTACGTCTGGATTTCTCGGTTAGTGGTTGTAGTATAGTTGTCAGGCACTTGGATAGTTGGTATGTAGGAGAGCCAAAGAAAGAAACAATAGGTCGCATTGGGAAACCAGGTTTGTGTAGTTTCGCAAACCGTATAGTTTCGGTGGATGTGGTACTGAGCACCTTAGTCGATAGTACGTTGGGTGTCAATAATGGCTTTCGTTTTCTTGAGTGTCAGTAGTTTTTTCGTACATGGGTTGCGGATCTGCGAAATTCTGGTTAATTATCAACTTTAGGTTTATAAAGGTATGAAAAACGTCGTGACTTTGAAAAAAAACCGTCATTAAATTAATGAAGAACGTGTCAAATGTTAGTTTACAGTCGATCGTTAGCAATAGTTCAAGATCATTTACAAGTGGCCCATGTTGTTCCTCTATGAATTAAAGCTAGCGATTCCAGAGCCATGGACGCCATCCGACAAGGAATGGAGGAATGGACAAGTAAAACATGTATTCGATTCAAGGGGAGAACAAATGAACGAGCTTTTGCCCACTTCAGAATTGGCTCTGGGTAAGGGACTCTTGATCTTAGCAGTCTTACCAAGATGACTTTATCAACGCTACGGGGAGTAACCCAGGTTTTTGTGTTCTTTCAAACGCGCGATTGTGCTTGAACAACAAAGAATAAATAATTATACGATGTATTAAAACACACGATAAAGCAATCTTTGAAAATAATCAATTCAATCATTAGTTATTCAAGGCCTTACTCGTTTCTCTCTAGGAATGACCAGGATCTAATTTCATCCTCACAATATCACTCCTAAATCACTCATTAAAGTCACCAGAACAAAAGAAATGATCACCAACTAAAAAAGCGATTGATTGTTGAACAAGTTCTCCTTGTTGGCACTTAGGGAATGAATAGAGAACAGTATAGAGAATTTGCACGCTGTTGTTAGGGTGTAAAGAGATAGTCACTAAATTCAGTCAGTCAATCGATCCATCAATATTATTAGTCAAGTTTATAATCAATAAGTGTAACAATTTGAGTCAGTCAATCGATCCATCAATATTATTAGTCAAGTTTATAATCAATAAGTGTAACAATTTGAGTTGATAATAGAGAAAAAAACAACAGGAAAAGGAAAAAATTATATTTGATATCATTTTCAGGTGCTCCTCGTATGTGGGCAAAACAGGTAGTCGTCAATATATCAACCTTGGCAGCGGATGTTGGACCAGGGGAATTGTAGCTCACGAAATTGGTCAGTACATTAAAAGAAAAAAAATATTCCTTAAACAGGCCCCGGTCGTTCAAGGTGTGGATAACGATATCAACTGGATCAACTTCTATCCGATAGATGGTCTTGTATCTTTTTCCTTCCCTTATCCGCTGAATAGCGCAAAAAATGTGCTCTGCGGCTAATTACGAACATGGTCATCCCTCTACGACAATTAACAACACTTATTGACCTCGGGTTTCTATCTCATCTCATGGGGTTGTCCTTCTGGTGACAACAACAATAAGACCAGAATTCGATGTTTTACTTCTCAGGGCATGCCTTGGGCTTCTATCACGAACAGTCTCGTCCTGACAGAGATGAGTACGTCACAATTATGTGGGACAACCTTTTCGAGGGTGAGTGCAGAGTAGAATTACTATAAAAAGTAATTATGAAGTTTACGAATAACAAATTGTGATCTTAGGTTTAAACGATATCTTCTACTGACGCATCCACTGAGTGGATAAAATCAAAACTTATCAAGTACTTAGTGCAATATCTATCATGTTAGAAACATGAAATCAGATAGCAATGAAAAAGTGAAAAAACATTCATGGAAATTAGATTATTTAATTTATATACTCGAATTACAATGAAAAGTATGAGTGGTTGAGAGCACTCAATTTATTTACCATAGCGTGTGACGTTGACGTTAATTATATCTGCAGCGGATATTGCAGTTATCATGTCGAGTTCAAAGTCTGCCTAGTTTCCGAGCCCCTCGTCCGTTTTGTGTTTTCATACTTTTACAGACTTAAAGAAGAACTCAAAATGTTGGGACGCTTTAATAAATGCATAACAAAACTATCATAGAATTCGGTTTTTGCATGATATTTAACAATTATTCGCCTCAGGCTCGGGAATATTGGTGAGTATTCACCGAGACGAAGTCGAGGGGAATAGTCACCAATCGTTCACGAGCCTGAGGCGAATAATTGTTTAAGTATAATTACTCAGGTAATTATAGAAATGAGCAAAGGAATGTTAAATTTTATTTGTCATTGAACGCGTCAGTGAACAACTGAGCGAGAGCCGTTCGCACGGACAACAGACTATTTCTCTTGTAAAAAGTCCAGTCTTTCATCCTGACTGAGACGTAAAATTTTGACAAACATTTATTCATCTCGTTGACCCCCATTGCCTCAAATTCAGTGGTAAATTCGTTTTGTTGTTGAAACCATTCTGATAAGTAAATAAAGTGTTGCGAAAATTCAATGCAGTTGTTTTGATTTATATTATTCATGCATGTCAACATAACCAAAGTTTTCAGGGGAATTTAAATGGTTTCTTTGTTACGTTTAGCACAATTTTCACACCTTACCTTTGAAGAGTGTCATTCCAAACTTTGTGGCGTGTTTTGTATTCCTCGGAATGGCATTTTCTTTCATTAAATTAATTTCCTCTTCAGGCACATCGACAAAACGCGAGGCGGCCATTTTGAAACTATAATCACCTCGCCGCAGGTGATTATAGCGGAATATGACGCCATTCTCGGCCAATAAGAGCGCGAGAATTTCTATAATCACTTGAGTAATTATACTAGCATGAATTATTAAGCTGAGGCCTAAGCCTTTGGGTGCGGCCGATTGCTTGACGTACGCAAAATCATGAAATATAAAATTTTCTAATGCCTACTTTGATTTATCAAAAGGAACGAGCGGCCTTCTTTTATCTTGAGTTAATTTTACCTTTTTTTTTTTAGGAAACAAATTTAATTTCAACAAATACAATCGAGGAACTATTGACAGCCTGGGAACCCCGTATGACTATGGAAGTGTGATGCATTATGGGGGCAGAGCTTTCAGCAAGAACGGAAGACCAACTATCGTTGCCAAGAAATCCGGGGTTAGTTTAAGTAGATGCCTTTGACCGATTTCCTTAATAAATATATGTGGCAAGAGCAGTTTAGGGAATTTTAATCAAATACATCATTAAATAAGGCGGCTTTTTTTCGTTTTTGTTTTATTTTATTTTCCCAGGTAACATTTGGTCAGCGAAAAGGCATTAGTCCAGTAGACGCGCGGCAGATGAATCTCCTGTACAAGAGCCAATGTGAGGGAGGAGGAGGAGGAGGAGGAGGAGGTGGTGGTGGCGGTGGAGGAGGTTTGTAACAATGATTACCTTTAGTGACAACTATCAAAGAAACAGAGAATCACACGAAAATAACTAAGGAAACGGTCATTCTTTATCGCGTAGGGACGGGGATGGAGGATTTTAGGGGGAGAAGGATCACTTCGTCTTTAGGGGGAAGCGCACCGTAGAAAATTGACTGCCAAGTAAATGTCAATGTGGGTGATATTAAAACATTACAGCGCCTCTTGGGGAAATCAGGTAAATTTTATCGTGAGACGACCAAAATCGTTTCATTTTTCTTGATAAAACAGTAATTGAATTCGGGTTTCGCATGTTACCATAATTTATCAAATCTCGCATCTGTGTAACCAGCCTCAGCCTTTGGCATCGGCAGATAACCTCAGACCTCGGCATTGATAATTAACAATTACTCCGAGAGCGCGCGTCCTATATGAGATGACAGATAGCCAACGAGGCCCGTATGGCTAAGCTGGGCATAATCGATTTAATATCTAGCGGGCGCGACTGGATTAATTGTTTTATAAAAACATCGCACCAAATTATCGAACTTTATTTTGTAAGAGCAAGGGGAATGTTACAATGTACAAAAATACTTTCGGTTTAACTCGACTTCATAAGCTCGCATGGAACTGAATGGCCCCTAGCCCATGATGGCTTATCCAATGAAAACTCTTGAATTGCATTGTCCAATGATCCATTTTTAAATAGTTCGTGACATTAGGCATAAATGGATTGTGCTCGGTAACTTTTGAGCAACTTTTAGGGTTTTCAGCAACTTTTTTCGTAGCGAGCAACGGTCAGCAACCTAAAGCAACTTTTGCCTTCCTTAGCAACTCTTGAGTCAACAAATGGTTAAGAACGTGTCTGTAAAAATCAAACATCTTGGGAAATGAAAATTTTCAACGCCCCCCTTCCAATTTTGCATGGAGTTAGGCACTCAGGGGGGGATGCGCACAAATTCCTTTTTTAAAGGTTGCAGCTCTCTTGTTTCCATGGTAACAACGGCTGCTTGTTCAAGGCCTGGAGCTTCATTTTCATACAAAAACCTCGCAAAAAAAGTGTAAAATGTTTATTTCTCTATCTCAGGCTGGATACAACATTACAGATTGGTACTTCTAGCATACATAGTGACATCATTTGTCTTTACTTTGATGCATTCAATTTTCCCTGGGAATAAATGTGAACACACCAATAGATCATTTATCTTGGTACAGTTTCGGTCATTTTTGCAGCAGCTCAAATCAGGGAAAACGTTGGTCTAAATTTCTCCAAAAGTACACCGATTCTCGTAGTGAATCTACGCTCATAGTTGGCAATAAAATTCTAGTTTTTAGATATGTAAAAAAATCTCTATGGGCAGGCCTCTACTTTTCATAGTGGTAATTCGCCAACGAAGCTCCAAAATCAGATATTGCATAAATTGGCAATGTTTACATCTAGTGTTCTCAACAACAAATGTTTCAGACAAATGACAAGTGCAAGACTTTGAAAGAATGTTATCTTCTGAGCAATATTCCGAAGAGAAATCTCGCCTCTAGCCTTAATATTTTTAAAAAAATCGATCAACCTCCATGGAGAACTACCCGACGCAACTACAAACATGTACCTTAAATCGTGTGCATGTCATCCAGATGGACTTCTTTCTACATCATTAGTATTAGTACTGCCGCTGACAAGTTACGATTTATACTCTCACTCTGAGTGTTTATGAGCATTCAGTCAAGGTTTTCCTCTCTTTTTTTGGTTGTTTTTACTTCAGAATGTACGGAAATCTGCTGAAATGTCGAAAAATGTCCATATCTCGTCTTCTTTGGAGCGACCTGTTGGAAACTTCATGGAGAAATTCAGCGTCACGCCATCCACGTGATAACGTACATGTTTATGACAAATGACCGGTGTTACGATAGTTTCGTGTAGATCAGCCAACTTTAACATGTTTCAAATGACAGACAGGTATAACAGTGTATCGTTAGAGGATTTCGGATTGCTCAAATTCCCACGAAAGACGGTACGGTACTCGTTCGCGAATTACCACTAAGAAAAGTAGAGGCCGGCCCGCAGAGATTTTTACATATTTAAAAACTAGAATATTATAGCCAACTAATTGCGTAGTTTCAGTTCCAGAATCGTTGTACTTTTGGAGAAATTTAGACAAACGTTTTCCCTGTTTTAAGCTAGTGCAAAAATGACCAAAACTGTACCAAGATGAATAATCTATTCGTGTGCTCACATTTATTCCCAGAGAAAATTGAATGCATCAAAGTAAAGACAAATGATGTCACTATGTATGCTAGAAGTACCAATCTGTAATGTTGTATCCAGCCTGAGATAGAGAAATAAACATTTTACACTTTTTTACGATGTTTTTGTATGAAAATGAGGCCCCAGGCCTCGAACAAGCAGCCGTTGTTACCATTTAAACAAGAGTGCTGCAGACTTCAAAAAGGGCATTTGTGTGCATCCCCCCTGAGTGCCTAACTGCATGCAAAATTTGAAGGGAGTTTGAGAATTTTCATTTCCCAAGATGTTTGATTCTTATAGAGACTCGTTCTTAAAAACTGACCAAACCGTCAACAAGGTCTATGTCAATCAATCAATCATGAACTTTATTTAAGTGTCCAATCTTCTAGCTTTCCCTCAGACCTACTAATCGGGGACACTACTTAAATTACATATTAATGATAAATATATATTAATAATACTATAAGATAATAATATTTAACTATTCAAAACTTCTTCAAATATATACAATAGTGAATGTACTTAAAAATACACATATGCAATAAAAACTATGTATACAATTTTATAATATATCAACTCTTCTAGTTGAAATATAATATTTTCTGTTTATGAATTATGAGTTACACAGGTGGCGCCTTTTGCATGCGTTTTCACTAACCAATTCGCTCAGATCTTTTTTCCTTATATTTGCTTTAAACCTTCTTAAGGAGGTCTCGTTTCTGTCCTTCATGCTTAATTTTGACCATAAATATGGCCCAAAAAATCTGAGGGAGTGCTTTCCGTATTTGACAGTTTTTACCATTTGAACATGAAAGTCCGAGTTCCTCAGGTTGTAGTACGAAGGTGATGGCGAGAAGAGTTCTAGTATATTGTAAGGCAGTAATCTATTCCTGATTTTGAACATCAAGATAGCGATATCTTGTAATCTCATGTTATATAGACTAGTCATTCCAGCGTGTGTCACTATAAGGAGAGACTCGATCTTTGAAGACTGTACGTAGACCTCTTTCATTAATTCTCTCTAGTTTGTTTCTGTCACTTGCTTGACGAAAGTGCCACACCAAGCTACAGTATGTGAGATGGGCTAGAACTGCAGTTTTATATATTCGCAGTTTTGCGTTCATCGGGATTAGATTCTTTAGCCTTTGTAGAGCACCATTTTACTGGTCTTTATGCAGACCTCTGATATAGGCTGTGAGAAATTCAATTCTTTATCAATAATTACGCCTAGCAGTTTGAATGCATCGGTAAAGTTGATTCTGCAATCATCAATCACTAACTCCAAGAGGTTTTTTTATTCAATCTGTTTAAAAATAAGGATGTCGTACGTTCTTACAAATAATTTATAAAATAACACGTGCACCCACAAACTGAACAACAGCTATCTATCTAACGGGCGCTTAAATCCAGCGGTTATTAGCTCCAACAATAGAGCTTCCAGTGCGTGCGAGCGAGGCATCACAATTAGAAGCTGAAATGTCTGACTAGGAAAATGAAAATAATACAGATATTGACCCTATTGAGGTTACCATAGCCGCTGAGGCAACTCTTAATAGTCCTACAAGAGCTTCAATTTCAATTTCAATTATCTTGTCCACGAAGGCAAATACAAACAACGAGAAGCGGTAGCTTGACCTCGTCCTCAGGGAAAGAAAACACAACATGCGCTTGGGATCGCGTGAAAGACAATTCAAAACGTCAACAGAAAATACTTTCTATAATGAGTTACGTTGAGATTATGTTGATCACAACAAATGAGGTTAAAATACACATACAACGTCATGTTTTGAGTGGTAATCTAAAGCAACTTTAGAGCAACTTTTGGATGTATTGTCGAGCAACTTTTGCTGAATTTTCTAACAGAATCTATTCATGCCTAAACGACATCATGGTCAACCTCGCCTAGTAATTTTCCATTGTCATTATATCGTGGAAATTTATATGGGAATCTTCAAGGTACTTCAGTCATGCAAAATAAAGGAGAAAAATGGAAAAGTCCCTCTAAAACCATAACGGGATTCAACAATAAGGAAAATTAAAACTGAAGACTTTAAGAACGCAAATCTTATTTCATTAAGAATGTTAAACTAATTTACCGTTTTGATTTGAGCTCAATAAAAAAAATGGTGTGCGCCTTTGAAACATTGTAACAGACTACTTTACGTGGTTACTTTTAATTCCTATATGATAACTTCGATCTGACACCCTGAAAGCACGCCACCCAACAGCTTCAAACTTCGCACATGTGCAGACTTTGACCACTGAGTCTATTCATACAAAACTTCTACTGTTATCTTCTAGGAAATTGTAAAGACAATAATAGAAAATGTAGCGGATGGACGAGATATTGCAGCTACCACAAATACGTGAGAGCAAACTGCAAGAAGACCTGCAATATATGTTAATCAATAAAAAAAAGGTAACTATTTACCATTTTAAAATTAAGTCCAATAGCCTTCGAACAAGCAAGCTCCCTTACAAACTCATGAACATGATAATTTTATGACGAACAAATTATTTTTCCAAAACAGCGAGTGGTAAGCTTGGCCTACAACTTACTTAAGCGCGAAACAAGTTTTCTGTTTGGGTCCGGATTACCTACATATGATACTAACAATGGAGGTTTGATCCATGCGAAAAAACGGAGGGTTCGATCCATGATACCTCACCTGTATTCTATTGTGAGCCATACTAGGAAACAGGCCTTGCCTTTTGCACCCTATTATGACGTTTTCAAATTCTCTCGTTTACAATACTACACAAGAGTTGTTTCTCA